AATTTATTTCATACATGTGATCATTCTTCATTTGCCTGTGACTGCTGGGAGGTATGAGGATCTATACACGCCAGCATGATACAAGATAATTTACTAATTGGGTTATGTTCCTAGGTTCTTCACCGTTTAAACTCTTAATATCTGGGAGACATTATCAAGTTTTATGGCTCACTCGCTCTTATGAGAATGTGGATGCATACTCGATTCAGAAGAAGCTGCGTTTAATTTCAAGCTGTCGTTCGCTACTCTTTTTTCTATTGAACTATCAAAGAGAATCACTAAGCTATTGTCATTTCTATATCCAGAAAGACAACAGATCAAAACAAAGGGGGTCATTGATTCAATTCATTGGACCATCGCATAACTTTTTTTGCTCTTTCACCGATCTAAAATGTCTGTGGTGTCAAATTTATAATTTGTTCGGTTTTAACTTTTGATCTTGCAGCTACTATAGTTTCCTCATTTGCTTCTTTTGTTACTCTTCAGTATAGTAGGAACCGTTGAACGGAGGATCAGATGGGGTGCTATGAGTAGGTGTGCTTTCATCTTGTTAGCCCCCGGAAAGGAATTCCGAACGCAGACTGCGAAGACCTAAGCTTCTCTGCGATGCCTTGGGGGTGTTTCCTGATCTGATGTTCGAACATACATGATTTTATCTTCAGCTAAGACTTTTGTAGTGATGCTGAATGCGGAGAGGGTAAGTTCGTTTAGTCTTGGAACTGTTCATTTATGGGGCAGCCAATGTTTCTTTCTATGCAGACCGACTGTGGTGTTTGGCTAGTTTTCCGCGTGCTGCCTATCTGTCAATAAGGTTTGTTTAGTGAGGATTTATTTCATACATATGATGGTTTTATGGTTCACTCACTCTTATGAGAATGTGAATGCATATATACTCCATTCTTTGTTTATTGAATTATCAAAGAGAATCACTAAGTTATTGTCATTTCTATATCAGAAAGACAACCCCCTTTCTTCCTCTCTTTTCTCTTGGTTTGCCTGCATCAGAATTTTGTCAGCCAGTGTTGGTCGGCTCCTGACCAACTCCTGGTCAGCCCCTGACCAAGTTTTTTTTTTATTTGTGAAGTTTACAGGTTATCACAAAGGACAAGTTTTTGGGGTGCTTGTATCACTTGGCAGCCTCTCATCTGCACGGTTTGGCATGAAAGGAATGCGAGGCTGCAGAGTTCGAGCTTCAAAGATTTATCCTTGCTCCAAAAAGAAGTGGATCGCTCCTTCCGCACCAAGATGGCCGGGCTTAGACCGACTCGTCCGGAACTGGCTAGTACGACTCTATGTCTCTGGTTCACACGACTTTGATTACTGTCTTACCTATTTTCGGACAACACTCTTGTAAGGACCAAGTGTTTTTTCATATCTAATACATAACCATTACCAACAAAAAAAAAACGGGTAAAAAAAAATATCTATACGGCTTGCTGACAATATATAATTTAAATAATTTGCTACCCATTATCGAAAGAATCTACTATTTATTGTTAGTCCAAAAGAATTTGAATTTATATGTATTGTAAAGAAGGAATAGAACAAAGCATAACAGAAAAATATCTCAAACCTTACACAAATATTATTTTTTCTAAAACCAAAAAAAAAAATCAATAGGAAACTCCGTAAGGACACTTTCCCAAACTAATTACACACATGCGTGCATACTGCATGCATGTAAAAGTCATGTAGGACGGATGTAATAATACAAATCTTAAAATCAAACAGGAAAATCATTAAAACATGTATCTTTGTCGAAATATGGAGTTAAACTGGAATTTAAATGGACCCTTGCTGAAAAATAAATAAATTATATATTGTGACTGGTTTCGGTCCATAATTTTCGGTCCATAATCATAGACAAGTCCATAATTCGATAATATATGGGCTTTGGAGAGCCCGATTGCTAACTTAACACTCATTTGTTTTTTTAAATTTAATAGTTATTTATTTGAAAATGACATATGAAGTTTTCTGTATTTTTATTTTTATGGCCCAAATGATTCTTCTGCTAAAGCCACCTATTTCGAAGCCTTATAATTTAGATTTTCAAAACACATTATTACAATTGTGATTACATTACGTATTTTCTTAGTAAATTTTGAAACTATAAATTATTTAGATAAATAAAATTTTATAATATAGATGATGGTCACTGAAATTTACTAAATTAAATTTTATTAAATGGAATTAAGTAAATGCCACATGTATATCTTTTTCCTATGAAATCCATGAATCGAATGGCGAATGCATAATACATCTTTCTACCAAAATTCATGAATCGACGGTGTCACAGAATTAATTTAGGCCGGTTGGACTTTTTAGAACCCATTAACTTGTTATTTATTACGCTAAAGATTCTAAAAGGAATTGAATTTATATATCTCAAACCTTATCCGTACATTCTCTTCTCTAAAACAAAAACGAAAAAAAAGAAAATCAATAGGAAACCAACAAAAGCGAAAAAAAAGCAAATAAATAGGAAACCCCGTAAGGTCACATTCCGAAATTTAGACCGAACTAAACCGGACCGGTACAATTGGGTTGCGGTAGAAAAAGGAATTGGAGAAGGATCCAAGCGAAGCGCGATGGGCACAACGGTGTCGTAACCGTGAGAATCGGACTTGGTGCTGATCTTCGAAACAATCTCCAACTCTTTGGTCGACAGATGGCAAGAGGCGATGCAATGAGGCAAGTGCAAGTAGACGAGATTCGGATTGTTTGGATGAGATGCTAGAGGCCGCGGAACGTGAACACACCTGATGTCTTCCGGATACGCCCACGTTTTGCCGAGAACGATCATCTTATACTCTGCACGTCTCTCTGCAAAGTCGTGCATATAGTGTTGTATCCACCGAGTGTCCGAGACCATCTCTTTGAAATAGATCCGGTGTTCCCTCCTCCACGTCGATTTGTTGTAATCCGTTAGAGTCCACACGCTTAGATGGTCGGATCCGGTTCTAGTGGGAAAGACAATGAGTTGAATCACTTGGAGACGATCACTAGACACGGTCAAGCACTCTGTAACGGTTGAGTTTGGGTAGTGCTTGTGGTCCATTCCCGGACAGCGACGGATGAGTCGACACCGGTGGTTGGGTGCGTCTCTATCTTGTCGAGGGTCATATGCGAAAACCGGTCCATCATTGGCTAACCAATGTAAAACGCCTCTGAATGCCAAGCTTTGGTAGTTGGTAGGGACCCAATACCATTCAGTTTGTTCGTGATGAACGAATTTCACGTACCAAGTACAAGTTCCTGAGTCGAAGATCTCGACCTGGAACCTATCTGGATAAGCACAGGTCATCTTCATGACCTTGTATACCGACTCATGTGCCACCAGCCCGACCGGGAGTATGGCGTTAGAACGTCGAAAAGGCGTATCCGGGAGACGGATCCATCGGGTGGTAACGGGATTGACGAGGTAGAAGGTGGACTGTGACGTGTAGGACTGCGTGCACAACAACACGTCCTGGAAGGAGGCTTGGACGCAGACGGGACGAGCGGAGTTACGGTAGAAGTTTCTCTTGGGTTTGGTGGAGTTGGAGAAGCAAGGGAGGTAATTCAGCTTGAATCCGTGAAAGCGTTTGAAGGAGATGTCGTTCGTGGCGTAGTGAGGTTCTCTCGGGGATTGGTTCGGGGCCGGGGTGTTGACGATCAATGCGAATCCCAGGTCGAAAGAGAAGGCAGGGGATGTGAGCGAGGAATTCCAATACTTGCTCACGCTTCTGGAGGCTAACAAATCTCTCGGGCTGTGGATCCGAGTGAAGATTTCCCAGAACAGCACGTCTTCGGGCAAGTCATCGATGGTCGTCGCGGATTTCTCGTCGGACGACATCTCTCGGTTTGGGACGGCGATGGATGGCATGCTTCGGCCGTGCAACATCACCTTATATTTTATAAGGCAAACCATCTAAACCCTAATCGTACTCTTAGTAGGGAAAAAAAAAATCTTATTAAATCTAGGAATAGGATCGCAGCGTTGACCAGGTACTCTCACCCAATCCAATAATTATATCTGGTCATGGATTTTAATAGATATAATTATATTTACGTAGTTGTTACGAAATAATCATATCTTATATCTATTAAAATCCGTTAGATTTAGATATAATTATTAAATAAAACTAACTACACACATGCGTGCATGCATGTAAAAGTCATGTAGGACGGATGTAGTTTTTACTCCATTCCATTTCAACGAAATAATAATACAAATCTTAAAATCAAACAGGAAAATCATTAAAACATCTATCTTTGTCGAAATATGGAGTTAAATTGGGATTTAAATGCACACTTGCTGGAAAATAAATAAATTATATATTGTAAGTGGTTTTGGCCCATAATCAATCATAGATAAATTCATAATTCGATAATATATAGGTTTTGGAGTGCCTCATCCCTAACTTAAACTCATTTGTTTTTTTAAATTTAATAGTTATTTATTTGAAAATGACATATGAGGTTTTCTGTATTTTCATTTTTATGACTTAAATGATTATTCTGCTAAAGCCAGCAATCAGACCTATTTCGAAGCCTTATAATTTAGATTTTCAAAACACATTATTACAATTGTGATTACATTACGTATTTTATTAGTAAAATTTGAAACTATAAATTATTTGGATAAATAAAATTTTATTATATAGATGATGGTCATTGAGATTTACTAAAATAAATTTCATTAAATGGAATTAAGTGTCAACCTGACGTATGAAAATTTATTTAACAATGCTATACATTCGAAGTTAAATGCCACATGCATATCGTTTTCTCCATGAAATCTATGAATCGAATTCCGAATGCATATTATATCTTCCTAATCGTACTCTTGGCCGGGAAAGAAAAAAAATCCTATTAAAACAAGGAATAGGATCTCAGCATTGATTAGGATTTACAGGGTCAAGTTTGGTATTTCATCATTGGTTCTGTTGACCCGCGGTTTATTTTCCCGGGAAAACAAGAATCAAATGCTCTGCACCCGAAACACACTCTTCCTCTCTCTATAACTCTGCAGAGAGAAACTGAAACCCTAGAGGGAAAAATCTTATCAGCTTCAATGGCGAAATCGGCGAGAACCATCAAGAACCCATTCGTCCCGTCGCATCCACCATCTCCATTCTTCCACTTCTCGCTCCTCTTCTTCTCTCACCCTCCTAAAACAAGCCCCCGGAAACTCAACCACCACCACCGAAGTCGGCGATGTCCGCGGCTTCCTCCACCGCAGTGTTTCCTCCTCCTCATCTCACTTATCGTCACTTTCTTGGGAATCTCGATTCTAATCTCTTCACAAAACCCAAACCCATCTTGCATCTCCTCCATTTCTCCATCTTCCTCGTCGCCGTCCCCAAATCCCTACGACTCTCACCTTCTCCTACCCTCTCTCACAATCTCCATCGGTTCCGGCGCTGCAATGGTTCCGTTGCCGGCGAGGGGAGGGCGTTTCGGTAATTTGACGGAGGAGGAGAGGGAGTTCTGGAAACAGCCCGATGGAGAAGGGTACATGCCTTGTTTGGACTTCAGCATTGAATACAGGAAGAAATCGGTCAAGGTTTCGAAAGAGAAGAAGAGATTCCTCGTTGTGGTAGCTTCGGGAGGACTGAATCAGCAGAGGAATCAGATCGTTGACGCCGTCGTGATCGCTAGGGTTCTTGAAGCTGCTCTTGTCGTCCCCGTGTTGCAGGTGAATCGTGTCTGGGCAGACGAAAGGTATACAAAACGTTACCTTTTTCGAATTGGGTTCGTTGAAATTGTTGATTTTCGATCTGCCACTCTCAGTGACTCTTCTGTGTATCCAGTGAGTTCTCAGACATTTTCGACGTGGAACACTTCAAGAAGACTTTAAGAGCTGACGTGCGAGTCGTGTCTTCGCTCCCATCGACGCATCTGATGTCCAGACAGACAATCGAGAACCAGATTCCACGGGACGTTTCTCCCGTTTGGATTCGTGCCAGATTCTCCAAACTGGTATATGACTGAGCACACCTCTGTGTTGTCTGGTTAGCTTTTTCAATGGCTTCCAATGGATTTGTCATTACTCCGATGCAGCTGAATGAGGAGGGGCTTCTGGTGTTAAAAGGCTTAGACTCAAGACTCTCCAAGAATCTTCCTCCAGATCTGCAGAAGCTTCGGTGCAAGGTGAAATACTTTAACAAGGCTCCATCTGATTTCGATGCGGAAATTGTTCTGTTGATTGCTTGGTCCCTTTTTTTAGGTCGCTTTCCACGCGTTGAGATTTTCGACACCCATTACGGATATCGGGAACAAACTCGCAAGGAGAATGTGGATAGAGGGTCCGTATGTAGCCCTCCATCTAAGGCTGGAGAAGGACGTATGGGTTAGAACCGGATGCCTCACCGGACTAGGTTCAGAACATGATCAGATCATAGCTGAAAACCGGGTGGCTCAGCCTCAGTTCCTCACTGGCAGACTAAACATGAGCTATTCAGAGCGTCGGCTTGCGGGATTCTGTCCTCTGAATGCCTTTGAGATGGCAAGGTTGTTTTTTCTATATATGTCTGTGTATTGTGTTTTGTGACGTTTTCGTTGCAAAGTTTTCATCTTTTTCTTATTCTGACACGAACGCAGGTTGTTGAAGGCATTGGGGGCACCGAGCAGTGCAGAGATATACATTGCAGGTGGAGAGCCGTTTGGAGGATCCCGAGCTCTGGAGCCGCTCGTTGAAGAGTTCCCGAACCTCGTGACAAAGGAGACGTTGGCTCATAAAGGCGAGCTCTCGTCTTACAGCAACAAATCCTCGGCTCTTGCGGCCATCGACTACATCGTTTCCCTGAGCAGCGACGTTTTCGTTCCTTCCCATGGCGGCAACATGGCCAGAGCTATGCAGGTAAATGGCAGAAAGCACGAATCTTTCTTAAGCACGACGGAAAGGGTTTTGATACTCTTTTTTATTTTTCACATTTCTGATGAAAGGGATACAGGGCATACACTGGGCATAGGAAGTTCATAATGCCAAACAAAAGGGCGATACTTCCTCTGATGGAAGATGCCTCTGTTACAGAGTCGGAGCTCAGCCGGATCATACGGAAGATTCACCGGAAGTCTCAGGGCCAACCCGAGCAGCGGAAGCGTCGGATCGACCGGGACGTGGTGGCTTACCCTGTCCCTGAGTGCATGTGCCTGAACCGGAAGCCCAACAGGTCTGTACCTTTCTTCTAGTCAATCCATTCATCCGTTAAGATTGTGACACGTGTGCAGATAGTATCGTGTGGATTTGTGAACTGATGAATATGCACAGAATTTGATTCATTCTTTCATTGATAAGAATATCGCAGATTCGCAATGTTGTTTCTGGAGGATCAAATAAATAAAGAAACCGGATTCGCACTTACATATATTTATTTCAATCATAGATACATATGTGTGTATAGATGTTAATGCAAGTTGATTTTATTTTACAATGAAATGTCGAAACTAGTCAGCTCACGTGATGTAGGCTGCTAGCCGTTCGATAAGTTAAATAGCATCTCATAAAATCCTAACCCTAGATTCTCTTCACCTAATCGAACGGTTGTGATGTGTTTAGTACACCTTATTTCAGTACAGCCGCAATAGAAAACCAAGCAATTTCAAAAAAAAAAGGAAAAATCAAGCAATTTGTTGACCGACTTTGTATAAAAGAGAAGAGAGCCTCAGCCCTCAGGCAATTGAAGGTGTATTTTGCTTTCTTGAGAGAGAGAAGATTCGCGAGGTGCGTCCCTTGGGAGATTATCTGCTCCGGTGATCGGTTACTGCCGTTTCCATTCTTCGTCTTGCCTTCCGGTAAGAGCTTCCGGTACCTGTGATATTTACCGAAGAGAGGAGGGCGAGATATCGTGTCCTGGAATTGAAATCTAGGGTTTCGTTTTTCGTGTTCTTGTTTTCCTGGTCTGATTTGATTTCGCCAAAGAGTTCTTTCTCTGTTGGTTGATTGTGTTTTTGAATCTTTAGGGGTCTTCTGGGGTTTTCATAATTTGGGGTATTATCTCGTGTTTGGTTTCTTGGGTTTGTGTTTCTATCGCGCTTTTCTTGATCGCTACGTTCAATTGTTCATTGAGGAGAGACCTGGTTATTAATACGATGGCGGCAGGGGGAGTTGATGTCTCCAGAAGGTCTGTTGTCGTCGACTTGCCCAAAAAAGACTATGATTGTTACAAGAATGCTTCTTGTGGTTTGTATCGGAAGGCTGAGGGGCGTCAAATCAGCCTTTGGTCTGAGCACGATGGAAAGAGGAAGGATTTGCAACAAGATTTGTCCAATGGATTGGAATTGGTTCAGCAACGCCCTGAGAAGAGGAAGTATTCTCCTTTCACATGGGATATAGAAGACAAGGTGGCCGCAGTTCATCCTAAGAAGACTGTTAAACTCGCTTCTAGGAGGGGGATTTCTTCTGAGAATCATGTCAATGTTAAGATGTCACTGGATTTTCCAACTCCTATTGATGATCTTGAGGAAGGTCAGTTGGAGGAAGAGGTTCAGGGACCTAATATTTTGAAGTCCAGATGGGCATCGGGTTTGGATTCTCCAAAGGATGTAACCGGATCTGATAATGTTCCCAAGACTAGCAGATGTAGTAGTAGCACTTCAACTCCTGAGAGTGGGGAATTCTTGTTGGGGGAATCTGAAGAACATAAGTCCCAATCGTTTGGGAGTGGTAGTGGGCTTCTAAGTGCTGAACGGCTCAGTGGTCATGAATGTTCAGATCACGAGTTGGAGAGTCACAGTCATATGGATATAGATGAAGCACGATGTTACAGGTCTGATGTTAACCTGTTGGACGTTGAAGAGCCAGACTCGTCGACCGAGGGAAGCATGAACATGCTACTGGGTATCAGGAATGTTGACGAATATGAGAAGCTAAACAAGATAAGTGAGGGCACTTATGGAGTTGTATACAGAGCTAGGGATAAGAAGACAGGAGAGATTGTGGCTCTTAAAAAGATCAAGATGAACATTGGTAGGGAAGATGAATATGGATTCCCTTTGACATCTTTGAGGGAAATTAACATACTCTTGTCTTGCAACCATCCTTCAATAGTGAATGTCAAGGAAGTTGTGGTGGGGAACAATGATAATGTTTTTATGGCCATGGAACATTTGGAACATGACCTAAGGGGCTTAATGGACCGGATGAAGCAACCCTTCAGCACTAGTGAGGTGAAATGTCTGATGATACAGCTGTTGGAGGGTGTGAAATATCTCCATAGTAATTGGATTATCCATAGGGACCTTAAGCCATCAAATCTTCTTATGAACAACAGTGGGGATTTGAAAATTTGTGACTTTGGCATGGCTCGCCTGTATGGGAGCCCTCTCAAGCCCTACACCCAGTTGGTTGTTACACAATGGTACAGGTGAGCAATCTTCCAATATTAACTCTTTCCATGCTCTGTGCTTTGAACGATAACAATGGAATCGGTCTACAGGACCCCTGAACTTCTTCTGGGAGCAAAGAAGTACTCTACGGCAGTTGATATGTGGTCAGTTGGTTGCATTATGGCTGAACTGTTGTCTAGAAATCCTCTTTTCCAAGGGAAAGGTGGGAGTGATATTGACCAATTGCGCAAGGTAATCATGGTTTTTATTAACTTCTTCATGTTGTATGTTCCCTTTTTGGTTTCTCTTCCTGATGCCAATTGTGTTTTCACTTCTGTAGATCTTTGCGCTCCTCGGAACACCAAGCGAGACATCGTGGCCTGGATTTTCTTCATTGCCTGGTGCCAAAGCAAATTTTGTTACGCAACCGTAAGTACTCTTTTGTAGTGATGCTGTCTGTTGAAGCCTCTTTTATGTGGTGGATGAATGTTTCAGTGTTTGCTTGTCCATGTGTTTTTTATGCAGGTACAATTTGTTGCGTAAGAAGTTTCCAGCTGCATCCTTCACTGGATCACCAGTACTTTCTGATCTGGGGTTTGATTTGCTGAGCAGATTACTAAGCTGTGACCCTGAGAAGGTAAATTTTTTCAGTGTAAATTTATGTTAATATCATACTGTGCTTATGGGGCTTTTCTTTCTGCAGCGTTTAACAGTAGATGAAGCTCTTAACCATGATTGGTTCCAGGAAGTTCCTCTCCCAAAATCCAAAGAATTCATGCCGACTTTTCCTCCAAAATGTACCTAATAGATCTATTGTCGGCAGATATCAAATGGTATACGGCTAAGGGAAGTCATTGGTTGTGTTTTGATCTTTCTTCTGATTGAGGATTTTTCTGATTCTTCTTAACACGTCTTTGAACAACATGGAGCTTCAGCGTTAGCTATTATTTATTGGAAGGAAGCATCATGACGTGCTTTTGTTACCTGGAGAGTTTCGTGGCTAGTATGCATTGTATTCAGATTGGAATGTGTATGTATGAGTGATCCATGAAACTGCAAGGTGTTGGTCTTTTTCTCTCATATGAGATGTAGATCAGATTGACATCAATTCTTGTACATAAATTGGTTCTATTTTACCGGAATAATCATTGAGTTATGTCTTTCAGTTTATATTGTTCTTTCTTTGTCTATGTTCTCTTACTTTGTTGCATATTGTTTTCTGCACGAGGTAAAAACAAAGACAGGATACCCGTTCCTTATCAAAAGGTGGGAATCTTGCATCTGTAAGTTATTTTAACTAGTTGCATCCATAGAACTCGGTCTCTCTTTTATATATATGCTCACCATTTACCATTTGTTCTAAGGGTGATTCTGGCCATTATCTATCTCTTGTTCGAAAAACTTGGATTTGATCAATGTGACAAAGTAGAGAGATCAGGATGCGTTTCGGTGAGTACCGCTGCAAAATTTAGCTCATGTAATATGTTATTTTGCAGTAACCCAAAATTTCCCATTTCACCGACATCATAGAATGAATGACAATCTGGGACGTACATGGCACTGATGTTCCATGGATTAACTAGTGCATTCCAGTACCTCATGTTTCTTTTCGTAACATTCAATGGTCTCTCATGTCTTAATTTGTCATGCTTGGCAATACAACATCTTCTAGACTCTTGGAGCTGAATGCCGCATTTCATTCGCAGTGCCATGTACCTTGTGCTATATGATCCTGGGGGAGGCCAAATGCTTGGTGAGTTATCTTGTGGTGCTTAAATCCATAGTTCACTTGCATTGCCATGCACATGTTGCTTCGTAATCTCGGCCAAATTATTGATATTTGACTAGTGTCTCAGCAAATGTGGATCCTGAAACTGTTGCGTTCACATCTTACACTTTGTACTTTTCACACTGTTGTTCGCGGGTCAAGGTAAGGTGATATAACCGTTTCTTTGTTTGGTTGATTTCTGTGAAATGTATGTCATAGCATGTTGGTTTTCTGCCTCTTTTTCGAGCATATATGCCTTGATTTTCACTTTTCAGGGGACTGCTTCTTTTGTTGCTTCTCTGTCCTGAAGTAAAGGAAGTTGAGCGGGGTTAGTGGTTTTGACAATGCTCTGACGAACCGGTAATTGATCAGTAAATACATATCTACATAACATAGCCGATTCTGATTTTAAGATACCTGATTAGGCAAAATGGAATTTAAATTTGGTCAGATTGAAATAACAGGCTGTGTATTTTGAAATTTAGATTTGATTTAGCGCAAATATGAACTGCATTGCATTGGTAGCATTTTCGTGCCTTCTTTTGGTATTCGATGTAAGGATACAAGATTTGATTTCTTTTATATCTTATGCTAGCAATATTGCCTGATCTGACCTCCGCAGTACACTCAATGATCTGGCTTAGAAGACTTCTCACAGGGTAATAAGTAATAACAAATATTCTTGTAGGATAAGCGAGTCGGTCAATCATAAGATTGGATTTATGCCCATGATCAGATTGTTTCCGGGAAGTTCCTCTCCCCAAATCCAAATAATTCATGCCGACTTTTCCTCCAAAGCGTGCCTAATCGATCTATTGTCGGCAGGTCTCAAACAGTATACAGCTAAGGGAAGTCATTGGTTGTGTTTTGATCTTTCTTCTTATCGAGGATTTTTCTGATACTTAAGGGCCAAGGTGCAGCGACAACAATGCTGACCTGGCAATAGTACAACTAACCTGTACAAACATCCCAACCCTTCCATGTAAGTAGTAATGGTTACTAGGTAATTATGTCTCTGCCACCTGTGCCTCTTTGTCTCCTGTGGTACCATCCTTCTCCCCTTCGTGTTGCTGCTTCCCATCATTCGAAACTTCCAACTGGTTCTCCCCTTCTGTCTTCTTGTTCTTCCTTACATATACTCGAAAATAGGGCATATCAGAAGTCATTGGTTGTGTTTTGATCTTTCTTCTTATCGAGGATTTTTCTGATTCTTCTTGACACGCTTTTGAACAACAAGGAGCTTCGGAGTTGGCTATTATTTCTTGGAAGGAAGCATCATGATGTGCTTGTTGCCTGGAGAGTTCCGTGGCTAGTACGCAGTGTATTCAGATTGGAATGTGTATGTATGGGTGATCCATGTAATTGCAAGATGTGGGTCTTTCTCACTCGTATGAGTCCAAGTTCAGGTTGAGATCAATTCTTTTACATAATTGGTTCTTCTTTATCAGAAGAATCATCTGAGTTGTCTTTCAATTTATATCGTTCTTTCTTTGTTTATGTTCTCTTACTTTGTCGCATATTGTTTTCTTCACGAGGTAAAAACAGAGACAGGGTACCCTTTCCTTATCATAAGGTGGGAATTTTGCAGCATTAAGTTCTTTTAACTAGTTACATTCATAGCACTCGGTCTCTCTTTAATATATGCTCGCCATTTACTGTTTCTTCTAAGGGTGGTTCTGTCCAATATCTGTCTCTTGTTTGAAGAGCTTGGATTTGATCATATAAGGTGTGTTATTTTGCAGTAACCTGAAATTTCCCATTTCACCAGCATCATAACATGGAGGCACAGTCGTTACGGTGTTTAGAAGCTGCGTCCAATGCTGAATGCTATCGTGGTCTGTGCCTGCTCCGCATTCCCAATTGGTTAAACGTTTTGTATTGCTCTTTTCGTTTATATGCATCCTAGTGAAATACGCAGGTTACATCGTGGTCATCTGGGTCAGTGCTTCGTTCTGATATAGCTGCTGAATCTTGGTCTCAATATCCCCGATGAGCTCGTTTTTTTACTTCCCTGTCGTTCTTGTTTGCTATTTAGAATCTGGTCTCTCTGGCATTTCATCTTTACATATGACGTGATGGAACAGTCCCTGTTATGCCACTGGGCCAAGTTCTTGATTCTTTTCCAAGCACCGATCCTCAGGGCACTCTCTTTTGGTGCATGTGCTGTTCCATGGAGTAACAGTCGATGCTCTCTCGTGTCTTAATTTGTCATGCTTGGTAATACAACAACTTTTGGAGCTGAATGCCACATTTCTTTTGCAGTGCCACGCACGTTGTGCTCTGTGATCCTGGGGGAGGTCAAATGCTTGGTGAGTTATCTTGTGGTGCTTAATACCATAGTTCACTTGCATTGCCATGCACATGTTGCTTCGTGATCTCGGTCAAATTATTGGTATTTGACTAGTGTCTCAGCAAATGTGGACCCTGAAACTGTTGCGTTCACTCCGGGCATCATTTTCCCATGGGTTCACATCTTACACTTTGTACTTTCATACTATTGTTCGCTGGTCGAGGTAAGGTGATATAGCCGTTTCTTTATTTGGTTGGTTTCTGGGAAATGTATGTCATAACATGTTGGTTCTCTGCCTCTTTTTCGAGCGTATATGCCTCACTTTTCAGGGGATTGTTTCTTTTGTCGCGCCTCTCTCCCGAAGTAAAGGAAGATGAGTGAGGTTAGTAGTTTTTTTTTTCAAACATGAGATGAATAGTAGAGTGGTCGTTTTATTTACATGTCATTTCCTTGATCTACGGGAGAACTTTCCCAATCGGCATATATATATACACATTATCCCAAACCCCAAATGGCAATCATTATGTGTTTTGGGAAAAAAACATACATCTAATATTAAATGCTTTGTCGGCCGTTGTGTGTATGTTATATCATTGAAAATGGAAGAGCGCTTCAAGTCCATATAAAAAAATCCTTTCTAGAAGTGATCGGTGGTACCAAAGGCAAAGACGTGGGGACATATATGGTATATGGTGTGTAGACATTAGTTGGACTTGGTCCAATATTCCCAGCCGAAACACCGCACGTGGCAAAGACCCATTACATCCCATTTGGCAATTAGAGCTTAGGGTTTAGGTTTATCGGGAACACAAAACCTTGGATACCTGGTGAGTTGTTTAGTTCTGATTGGTCGAACATGCTTCATTTGCTGATTGTGATTTGTCTGTCATTCGTTTTATCTTATTTTAGGGTTTCTTCGGGAATAGAGACAGAAGTGGGAGCACAACCCCTGCGTTTCTCTCTTTATTTATTTATTTTGGTAAAACGTTTCTCTCTTTATTAAAGCAAGGTAATCAATCCATTGTTTTTTTTTAAATATAATATTTTAATGGTTGAGGAAAATTATCCGAAACCTACAATGTTTTAATTAAATTGTGTTAAAAACATTATTTGTGTCTTCTTTAATTTGTATTTACATGAATTCAATCTTTTATATATATATATATATAATAATAATAATAATAATTTGATTTATAATCTAGGAAACATTATCTAGTTCAATCGTATATTAATATAATTCGAGTATTATTGGTCCATGTATAGCTTTGTTTGTCCAAACATTGCATACACAGGTTATAAATTACGATCCAGTGTATATATATATAATATTCTGTGTGATTTCATATATAGTCCATAGTAAAGATATACAATTAGCATAAAAAGATACCCAGTTACAATATATATGTTAGAACTCCGATTTATGAATAATGATTATATTTCCATTAAATAAAATTCATGTAATGTAATTGTTACACTAAAACCACATTATGTGTTTCTATATAACTATGAACGGTTCTACATGCATATCAACGTTGGTGCACGTGTACTCTCTCGCTTCGTTTTCTACTTTAATTAGGTTTGGAAACTGGAGTTGAAGATGTTAGTGTATATATATACATACATAGATTGATATAAAGGATAGTGCAATCTTCTACTTTGGGAAAGTTGATAAGCCCATTTATCATTGCTACCATCTACAGGGACATCTTAAAAGGGGACCACTAGTTAGGGTGACCATCGCTGATCATACATTATATGTCATTTTTAAATCTGGTTAATTATGTGATTTTATTAAGTTATAGAGTCCATATTATATATACACTACTATTTAATTTTCTATTTTTAATGGAGAATTGTAAATATGCAAACTAATAAATGATGCGAATTATAGAAACTAAAATAAACTGTTTAATTATTTTAAACAGTATATAATTTTTATTTGATACCATTGAATTTGAGTAAGCCGTGATGAATAGTCATTTAGCATCATAGGATTTGAAATCATAAGAATACTATTGAATTTGAGAGAATTTAAATCAGCTCAAGGAGAATACGTGTATTATTGATTCAAATGATAAATATTATTTTTATACAACCTTTTGTGCCAATCAATTAAATCGGACAAAACCGATATAATCCTGCTGTAATTTTCAGAAATATTCCAAGGTTTTTCGCTGTGATTTTGTTTTATGGAGTATCTATTAGCTCTGTAGTTAAATGTTAACTTATACAATTTAATATGTAATGGTGCGGTAAAAGATATGATCAAAATGAAAGATATTAATTACATTTAAACGAAACCTTTTTTTTTGGAGTTTATTTCACACATTCAAATATTTCTCTTTCCAACCCCCAAAATTTCTAATGTTCCTGCATATCTTTGATTTGGTAGAAAATATTATAGCTAAATTATGTAATATGTAATCCGAAACACACACAAAAAAAAGTTGAATATATAATAAGATACATATATTCGTAAATACTTTTATCCCAATAATATAATATAAATATAAATATTTGTGTTTTCAGTTTGAACTTATTTGGAGTGCCGATCTCTTTAGTTCATGTGCTTATCATATATATGTACAGGATAAGATTGAATGTAGAAGAAAAATCAAACCTAACACTCAGTTTGGTCGGTCCATTTCATTTGGACAACCTTTGTGAATCATTACCAGCTGTTCATCCATTTTCGGCCAACTATTTTTTTTATAATATTTGATCTTTGTTTTTTCTTTATATTTTATATATACACACACAGTTCCCACTCGCATTCGGTTTGCATACGTAAGGCCTACGTTTAGAAAAATATATTAAAAATCGAAAGTTATCAGTTATTCGAGTTACGTCTGGAATAATTAATCCGTAGAGTTAAAGTTAATGAAAATGATAATTATTCATAATTTAAATATAGAGAGTTAAATATTAGTCCCACATGTATAGACATCCGATCTGGACCGTACAAAATTCCCACAAGATCGTTACCTTCCTTCGTTTACACACACACTTACATATTACACATGAGCTTTAAGTCTATATTTCAATATAATGCAAAAATTTAACCACTGCCGGGGTTTGAGTTTTGTTAATAATATAATTTTGTCTAATAATTTTCTTTAATTATTAGATATTCAATATGATTTATTAGACCATAAAATTCAGAGATCTTATAAAAATATATGAATTGAACTAATTAATGAATTGATATAAAAGAGTAATCGGAATGTCAGTAGAAGGCTATTAGTTTTATTATTTACAATTTGACATTTTTATTTTAATTGACTTATAAATCTCGAAGACCTAATTAATTAACATGATTTAAAATTGATATTTTTTTCAACATAAAATGCTGGAAAAACTTGAAGTTTCTACGCGCTCTACAACACATTAATTAAAATTATATAATCAATAAGAGATTAAGCTGTTAATAATAGTGACTTGTACCTGATTAAATTTGAATTATCGAAGTGATGTCTCCATCAAAGAAGAATCTGGTCATTGAGAAGCCTTTGACAGGCCATTTGATATGTCCTAAGTATATGTGTATCTAAATATAAAAAATCTTATATAAAAATAAATGAAGTTGTAAAAAATAAAGAAGTATATAATTTTTCAAACTTTAATAGAAATATATAAATTTTAGAATTAATATAAAAATGTATATAAATAATAATATATTAAAAATACTTATATTAAATAAAGATTAAAAAATATATTTGAAAAAACTGGACGTAGATTTTAATATATTATTATTTGAATAAACATATAATAATATTTTATAATGATATAATTGACAACTTTAGTAATTGATATAGTTGTATTGTATACATAAAAATCATACCATTATTTGTACTTTCTTATAATTAATGCAAGTTTATAGAATATTCATAATTAATTAGCATCTAATAATATTAACACTAGTTAATTATACAAAAAAAATGAATTCAATATAAATACCGTTTTAGATTTTTTCATAGCTTTTAAGAAGATTTTTAAAAAATCGTATATATCTTTATTAAAACATATCTAAATTACTTTTCTATTGAGATTTGTTATTTTTAATTAAAAATAAAATTAGAAATTTTGACTAAAAATTATCTAGAAAAATTGAAAGGATAACTATTAAAAAAACAAATAATAATTTTAAAACGATATTTATTCAAAAACGGAGGGAGTAGCAAATTATATGGAGAAACGTGTCCTTCCCGTTCTCGTGCAGAAGTGAAGTACAACACAACACCCTAGAAGTCTACAGGGCTTCTAGATGTCCTCTTGGAAGTCTAACCCAAATCTGCTCTTCTTCGTCTCTTTTCTATATATATAATATATGTGTATATATATGTGTATATATAATGGATAATAATAGGAGAAACATGAAATATTTTTTTATTGCCCACCGTATATATCAAATCTATCAAAACCAACATCTATTGATTTGTCATTTTGAGTTTCGATTGTTATTAAATGTTAGTATATGCATATGTATAATGGATAATAATAGGAGAAATATGAAACATTTTTTTTAATATACGTCCAAATAATTTTGTAAATATCTCCTCCTGCATGTATTGTAGATTTCTTTTCTTTTTTTTATAACTGGGTAAGCAATGCATGTATGTTAGATTATTATAACTATACATGAGGATATTAATATATTTAAAAGTAGATCACTTGAGAATCTATGTACACACATGCATGCATCATCTTCATTACCATGGCTCAACCAAGAGAAAAGCGACAATTGTTAATATGTTTGTACTATTATATATATATATAATATTAAAAAGCATTAGACAGATAAATTCGTGAACGTACATGAAAGTAAACAAAAGCCAATTAGAATGCTATATTTGGCAAGAGATCATTGCCTAGCCGACGACAAAATGCCATCGATATTCACTTTATCGATAAGATTCATTACCTAATGTATGTGACATTCGATAAAAAAAAACAATTTATAATTATACCTACTTTTTCTTTCTTTTTTACCACATTATTACATATTACGTTATTAGTTTATGTTTACCAATTACCGACTGAACCATTACTCATATATATATATATATATATATATGTATATAT